AGTGATTTTGGGGGTGGGTTAGTTTTATTATTTTTATCATAAAAATCTAAATCTTTTTGGAAAACCTGTTAATAAAACTATATTGATAGAGGAATTCCAGTCAAGATGGCAGAGTGGTAGGACCACGAGCTTGCCTCTCCTCATGACTACAACGAAACCACAACTGAATGCTAAACAACCATCGAGAAAAGACTGGAACCTAGCAAAAAGGATCTTCTGCAACTGGAAACATAAAGAGGGATGGCAGCTCACGATATAATTGGGCCCCATACCCTCCGGGTGGGCGACCCTCGAGCTGAAGATCTATTAAGTCTCAGAGGCCCGCCCACAGGAGTGAGAGCTCTAAGCCCCACGTCAGGCTCCCCAGCTTGGGTACCAGCTTTGGGAAGAGAATGAGACCCCAGGACATCTGGTTTTGAAGGCCAGGGGGAGCTTAGCTCTGTGAGCCTCATGGGAATAGGGGAAACGGAGACTCCATTTACTTGAGAAGCATACACAGAAACTGACGTGCACCAGGTCCAAGGGCAGAGGCACTGATTTCATAGGAACCTGGGCCAGACCTGCCTGCTGGATTTGGAGGGTCTCCTGGGAACGTGGAGGACGGCTGCCGCTCACTCAGGGGTCATAAAAATTGGTGGCGGACATTTGAGGAGTGCTAATCTACGTGAGTTTTCCTGGAGGCTGACATCTTGGATTGTTAGCACCAAGACTGAGCCCCACCCAACAGCCTGTAGGGAAGCCTCCAGCCAAACAACATACAGGGTGGGAACACAGCCATATCCATCAGCTGACTTTCTAAGCTACAAAGGCCTCTAGACACAGCCCTACCCATCAGAGGTCCAAGACCAAGCTTCACCTAGCAGTGGGCAGGCATTGGCTCCTCCTGCCAGGAAACCTACATAAGCCTCTAGTCCAGCCTCATTCACCAGGGGCAGATACTAGAAATAAGAAAACAATAATCCCAAAGCCTGTGGAAGAATCCAAAAACACATAAAAATATACATGATATGAGGCAGCAAAGGAATATCTCCCAGGCCAAGCCACAAGATAAAATTCCAGAAGAAATAAGTGATGAGAAGATAGGTAATTAATCTGAGAAAGAATTTAAAGTAATGATGGCCAAGATGTTCAGAGAACTCAAGAGGAGTATAGACTCACAGAGTGAAGATTTTAGCAAAGAGTTGGAAAATATAAAGACTACCCAAACACAGCTGAAGAATAAAATCACTGAAATGAACAATACACTAGAAGGAACCAAGAACAGACTAAATGAGGCAGAAGATCGGATCAGTGAGCTAAAAAACAGATTAGTGGAAATTGCCACTTCAGAACAGAAAAAAGATAAAAGAATAAAAAGGGATGAGAATAGTTTAAAAGAACTCTGGGACAACATGAAGTGCTCTAATATTCGCATTATAGAGGTCCCAGAAAGAGAAGAGAGAAAGGACCTGAGAAAATATTTGGAGAGGTAATAACTGAAAACTTCCCCAACTTGGGAAAGGAAATAGTCACCCAAGTCCTGGAAGCCCAGAGAGTACCACACAGAATCAACTCAAAGAACACACCAAGGCACATAGTCATCAAATTGACAACAATTAAGGATAAGGAGAAAATATTAAAATTAGCAAGAGAAAAGCAACGAATAACATACAAGGGAACTGCCATAAGGTTATCAGCTGATTTTTCAGCAGAAACTCTACAGGCCA